TGGTGTCCCTCTAACAGCGTAAACTGCTGCGACATTTGTGATCCTGACGTGATCGAAACCTAACTACCAAACGTGGCTGACCTCAGTCGTCACAAAATTCCCACTCAGCTTCATCGTGCTGTTTTCGCTGTCACCTATCTTGTCCGTGGTTAGGAAAACGCGGCTGCTTGTACCCTGCTACGAGTCGAGATGGATGTCAGCAAACAACCTCAGCCCATCGAGTCAAGACCATGGTTCTGATCCAGTCCAGTGGAGCAGGTCCCCCATCAGTTCCAGCACTCGGACGTCCTTCCCAGTATCCGATATCTTGCCTACTCTATCACCAGCGGTATCTGCCCACTCAAACAAACAAATACCGTTGACGTTCAATTTAACAAATCAACCCCCGGCTTTCTTCAGTCGTCCCTATTATCCTAGCTCCCTCCTGTCAACCGCAGCCGCTCACGCCGTCAATAACACTACAGGCGGCACTTTTCTCATTCACTCATTTCAACTATTCTTCTTTCGCTCGGATTTTCGCCAGAATTCCGGTCTGGGAAGGGAGCACTTGCAGTGACCCTATTCTGGACGCATGTTGCAACGCGGTGTCTCCCGCGAGCACTTGCACGTGCGCATCAGTGTCAGTCTGGTTTACGGACAATCATGGCTGCCTAAATCGGTTAATTATCTTCAAGTCCGGCTCAGGCGTGCTCTCGCTCAAGGCGCTGAGGCGCATTACCCACTGTCACTTGGGACGCCACTCCCACAACGCCGGGCGTGTTTTCCCGTTCGGCCGCCAACTTATTCCAACCGGTTCTCCAGTCTTTCTGTACATAATACAGTATCTTCTCAACTGTGTCCAGCACCCATTCTTTGTATTCAGGGCCGAGCCTTAAGATTGTAGTGGATAGGCTCTGTCCGTGGCTTAAGCTGGCGCGACAGACCGGTCCCAGTGTGACAGATTCGTAATTGACCGGCCAGGCCGATGCGTGAGGTAAATGTGCAATTTCAATGAGGGCAGGCTGGGATTGATGAAGCATTCATCGTGGTGAGGGTGGTGATAATGATGGTAGTGGCTGGCGAGGCATGGAAAGTGTTCTCACCGGTGGTGATGGT